CCTGAAACTGAACTAAAATGTGCTTTTAACATACTGTATCTGTATTTAATATATATATATATATATATATATATATATATATATATATATATATATATATATATATATATATATATATATACAACTAGAAATACACTTGAACCTTAATTTTAAACATTTAAATATATTTAGACTAATTTAATGTATAATAGTAATATATTAAAAGAATATACAAATTGTAAAAATTTACAATCTGAATTCTGTATTAAAAGTGCTCTATTTTTATTTTAGAAAGGGTAAAGGTAGATCCAAATGAAAGAAAAGGAAATAACAGAGTTTTATATTAATATTTTATAGTTAATATTTTCATTAAAAAACAACAGTAGAGAATTATCAGTGGGATGGGGGGGGGTGATGAGAAGACAGTTTTGGAGCTGCCTCGGTTGGAGCTAATTATTCATTCTTTCATTTTCTTTTCAGCTTAGTCCCTTTATTAATCAGGGGTCACCACAGCTGAATGAACCGCCAACTCATCCAGCATACGATTTACTTACAGCTGCAACCCATCACTGGGAAACACCTGTACACTCTCACATTCACACACATACACTACGGCCAGTGTAGTTGATCAGTTCCCCTATAGCGCATGTGTTTGGACTGTGGGGGAAACCGGAGCACCCGGAGGAAACCCACACCAACACGGGGAGAACATGCAAACTCCACACAGAAACACCAACTGACCCAGCCGAGACTCAAACCAGAGACCTGAGTGCTGTGAGGAGACAGCACTACCTACTGCATCATCGCGTCGCCAGGAGCTGTTTATACATGCCAACAGAGGGATTTGGTTTGAATGACGGAGTCCTCATGAAGCAGCACAGCAGGTCTGTGCATTTCTGTGTGGATGGTGAGAGCAGGTCTGTGATAGAGACACTCGAGTTCACTACCTTTAGCTTTCGATGAGGGTAATTCAGGGGCGAACCAGGGAGCAGTCTGAGGAAAGAGACAGACCGGGATTTCACTGGAGCAAGAGATTGAGGATGTTGGATAAGTCTTTGTTCTACACAGCATCATTGGAGAAGAGAGATTAACCTGCTGCTGATGTTGGTCTGCAGAGAAGCTGGAGCTGAATGCTGGAATATCTCTGGTCTGCACAGAGCTGAGCTTCAGCTGCTTCTGACTGTCTGAGAGTGAATGAGAGCATGTGTCCAGCAGAGGGCGCTCATGTGTTCATCATCTCTATATGTCTGAGTTATTAACCAACAGTGACTGTACAACACACACACACACACATCTATTTTTCTTCAAATCGCAGACATAAAAGGGTCTGCTTTAATAATCTTTCCCTAAATAACACCAGATAGATCAGACTGAGCAGGCTAACACAAGCCAACATGAAAAACTCCTCCAATAGCACATGTTGAATAAAGTGTATGATTATAGGTGTGTGTGTGTGTGTATATGTGTGTGTGTTCTTCAGTCAGGATCAGTTTATGGTATTGATCTAGAGCTGCTGATATCAGTGGGTAAAGCAGCCTGGTTAGTGCCCTTATCTCTGATTTACAGCACAGTGTTTATCTGCGTTAGTGCTGAACCGGGACCTACAATAACACACACACACACACACAGAGAGAGAGAGAGATATTAACTCTCTTTATCTGCTCTCTGACTCACTGCTATGATGATGTGGTGTTTTTCAGACCAAATCCAGCAGCACCAATGACTAGGATGGACACACACACACACACACACACACGCTAGCATACTTATACATACACACACTGCCACTCTGAGGAGCTGTGATTTATAACTATAGCCTAAAATCACTGCAGCATACACTGACTTAAACATGCACAAACACACACTCACACACACCACTGTACAAGCACACACCCCACTATACAAACACTAACTCTCCAAAACACACACATACACACACACACACACCCCATTCTCTCACACACTCAGGTGCTGTGGGCCAATCAGGACTCAGCGGTGTGTTGTAAACTCATCATGTGACTAATGACCGCTGCTCAAACACGGCTCTGTGCTCCAGCTCTGGCAGAAACTCCTCCGCCTCCGCGCTCCTCAGTCAAACTCTAATCATTAACCCAGCGAGAGCAGGAATCTCCAGACGAGTCCGAGCCAAACACCACGAGAGACGAGACCAGGAGGACGGAGCAGATCTCCAGCATGAGGGACTGGCGGACGCTTCAGATCCAGACCTCAGCTGAGATTCCAGAGAGTCTGAGAGTCTGATGATCAACGCTGGAGAGAGCGGAGAGGGGAAGACTGCTGGAGAGAGCGGAGGGATAAGCGCAGCACAGTCCACCAGCGAGCGCAGATAAACATGGACCCGGAGCAGCCGGAGCGCGACTGGCAGCAGCTGGAGCCGAGCTATGGGCTGAAGGTGTTCCTGACGGTGCTGTACTGCCTGATCCTCAGCCTGGGCGTCCTGGGCAACAGCGCTACCATCCACGTGGCTCAGGTACTGCAGCGGAACGGGTACCTGCAGAGGAGCGTGGCAGAGCACATGGTGAGCCTGGCCTGCTCCGACCTGCTGGTGCTGCTGATCGGGCTACCGGTGGAGCTCTACAGTGCCATCTGGTTCCCATTCTTATCTCGCTCAGGTGACGCCGCCTGCCGCATATACAACTTCCTGTTCGAGCTGTGCAGCTACGCCACCATTCTGAACGTGGCCACGCTGAGCCTGGAGCGCTACCTGGCCATCTGCCACCCGTTCCGCTATCGAGCGCTGCGCGGCGGCCGAACACGGAGGCTCCTGCTGGCGGCCTGGCTCTGCTCTGCCCTGGTGGCACTGCCCCTGCTGGTGGCCACCGGGACTGAAGGATACGTGCCCGCGGGCCGCCAGACCCCCGTACAGAACCTGACCTTCTGCACCAGCCTGAGCCAGCACTGGGTGATGTACCGCACCAGCATCTTCACCGCTTTCGTCCTCTACCTGCTGGTGCTGGCCGGCGTGGCCTTCATGTGCCGGGCCATGATCCTGGTCCTGCGGGCGCCCATGGGCCCTGCTGAAGCCGGCGCTAGCGGAGATCACAAACACCAGAGCGCTCGCGGCAAAGCCTCCCGCAAACAGACCATCCTGTTCTTGGGTAGGACTCACTTACACATTCACCATCTGCCTCTCGGTCAGCTTAATCTGTGGTCACACTAGAGCAGCGGTCACCAATCTCTGACCTGCCGGTGTCCCTGCAGGGTTCAGTTTCAACTTGCCTCAACACACCTGCCTGGGTGTTTCAAGTATACCTAGTAAGAGCTTGATTAGCCTGTTCAGGTGTGTTAGGGTTGGAGCTGAAATCTGCAGGACACCGGCCCTCCAGGAACAAGTGTGGAGACCCCTGCTCTAGACGATTAGACATCCATAAAGTCAGTGATTACTCCATATTTTGAATATCTGTACAGAGATATTGTGTACGTTTTGATCCTCTGTTAGTGTCACACAATCACATTCGCAGGTCAGAGGTCACCAAACTTGAACTTTAGAACGACACGTGACACTTATGGCACAAGCTTGTGTTGCGGTACGCAGATATCCACATCAGTCTGAACACGATCTGCTCTCTGCATTCTGCTCTCTGACCGCAGCTTCTGCTCTGATGAGGAAATCTCTGAAGGGTCCAGACTCCACACACACCGGCACTCCCATCCTCTGACGCAATGACACATAGACACTAATGCCAGACTCATGAACACACACTCATCAGTCACACAGACCATGGTTAAATCACCTTACTGGGTGGTCTAATGAACATGAAGCGAGGTTGAGCTGATGGGCTTTGGATGGCTTTATGGCTCTGCTGAATGAAGGCATGATGGAGGCTGCACTGCAGAAGCAGAGCTGCAGAGGCCGTGACATCAGCAAGAGCCATTAATCTCAGCACTCAGTGACAGCAGCAGACGGAGTTCAGTGGTGTTTCCTGGTTTAAATGAGAGTGTTCAGATGGACGTGTGTCAGCTCTTCACAAAACAATTAAAACTTAATTTAAAACTATGAATATCAAGACTTATCATGCATTATCAGTCTGAGAGTCTCTGATTTACAGGAACCGCAGCATTTCAGGCACACCATTCACATGACTGATCAATAAGAGTTATGATCTTCAGTATGGACCACATCATCTCTCATCATGTCTTCTAATGCACTGTTCTGTTCTCTGTCCTCTGTGTGTGTGTGTGTGTGTGTTAGTGCTGATCGTCTGTGCTCTGTTCGTCTGCTGGATGCCGAATCAGATCCGCAGGCTGATGACGGCCGCAGTGCCCAAGTCCTCGTGGACCGGCAGCTACCTGACCAGCTACATCAAACTTCACCCGGTGGCCGACAGCTTCTTCTACCTGAGCTCGGTGCTGAACCCGATGCTGTATAACCTGTCCTCACGCCAGTTCCGCTCCGCCTTCCTGCAAACGCTGCTGTGCCGCCTGTCCCTCCAGCACGCTAACAGGAGAACGCTGGAAAACAGTGGAGCCTCCAAGAGCTCCAATAACACCTTACGGCCCCTGCTGCAGCGCTCTCTCAACCGCATACGCATGGCCACCAGTAGCAGATCCACACCGCCATCATCTGCAGAGAGAAGAGACTCTCTGAACACCACGGACCGGCCTCAGGGTGAAGGAAAGCTGACCCTTGACCCTCAGAACACCACAAACTGGCCCCAGGGTGAAGGAGAGCTGACATCTGACTCTCAGGAGAAGGAGAGAAACCAGCTGACACACTGCCCAACCTGCCTGATGAACAAACCAGCTGAAGACCACAGGAAAACACAACAGGACCAACATAGGCCAGGATTGCAGAACACTGTAGACCACTGGGGAAAACTGTAGACCACTGGGGAACACTGTAGACCACTGGGGAACACTGTAGACCACTGGGAAACACTGTAGACCACTGGGGAACACTGTAGACCACTGGGGAACACTATAAACAAGCACTATAGACCACTGGGGAACACTGTAGACCACTGGGGAACACTATAGACCACTGGGAAACACTGTAGACCACTGGGAAACACTGTAGACCACTGGGGAACACTGTAGACCACTGGGGAACACTATAAACAAGCACTATAGACCATTGGGGAACACTGTAGACCACTGGGAAACACTGTAGACCACTGGGAAACACTATAAACAAGCACTATAGACCACTGGGGAACACTGTAGACCACTGGGGAACACTATAGACCACTGGGAAACACTATAGACCACTGGGAAACACTGTAGACCACTGGGAAACACTGTAGACCACTGGGGAACACTGTAGACCACTGGGGAACACTATAAACAAGCACTATAGACCATTGGGGAACACTGTAGACCACTGGGAAACACTGTAGACCACTGGGGAACACTGTAGACCACTGGGGAACACTATAAACAAGCACTATAGACCACTGGGAAACACTATAGACCACTGGGGAACACTGTAGACCACTGGGGAACACTGTAGACCACTGGGAAACACTGTAGACCACTGGGGAACACTGTAGACCACTGGGGAACACTATAAACAAGCACTATAGACCACTGGGGAACACTGTAGACCACTGGGAAACACTGTAGACCACTGGGGAACACTATAAACAAGCACTATAGACCACTGGGGAACACTGTAGACCACTGGGGAACACTATAAACAAGCACTATAGACCACTGGGGAACACTATAGACCACTGGGAAACACTATAGACCACTGGGGAACACTGTAGACCACTGGGGAACACTGTAGACCACTGGGAAACACTGATTAGGATGAAGTTTCTGTTTATCAGTAGAGCTGGACTGACCGCTGCTGGCCAGCTAAACCAATCAAACACCCCAGAATGAGCAAATGCAGTAATGGAGGGCCAGAGGTGTGTGTGTGCTCTCAGAGTTATGAGGACGCCCTCTACTGGTCAACCGAGGACTCTATAACCGTATAGGTGTGTGTTCTCCGTGTGTGTGTGTGTGTGTGTGTGTGTGTGTGTGCAGTGGTCAGCACATGTTTTCTGCACATCACGAGTGTTTAAAGTGAATGAACATCACTGATGGTCAATTCAATAAAGTATTTCTCAGAATAAACGAAGACTACAGGTGTGTGTGTGTGTGTGTGTGTTTCTCAGTGTCTGAATATGGCTGCTCATACATGTGTGTGTGTGTGTGTCTATTTAGAGTCTTTAGGATGTCTTGTGTTTAACCTGTCACTCACTGACCCCAGATCTGCTGTCCAAATACAGATGAACTGCAGACTTGAGGATGTCTGGAGTGTGATGCGATACACACACTGTGTTAGAGCAGCGTCCTGGAAATATTATAAGTTATAAAACCATGTGTGTGTGTGTGTGTGTGTGTGTGTGTGTGGTCAGCAGTGATCAGTCTGCTGAATGAATAACGTTGAGCTGTTCACAGACTAAAGGTGTAGTGTTCTTCACATGAACGCCTCCATTAGCTCATATTCACACACACACACACACACACACACACCTGAACACGTAGTGTTAAACATGCGAGCAACAAGAGGTGTAATGTTGAGGAATGAGGTTTATTTGACGCAGAATCACACAGTGAACATGACTGATCTGATGATGAAGACTCATGATGAAGACTCAACCCCTCATGATGGACGTGTCGGTGTCTGATGATGCTGAGCTCAGAGATGATGATCCAGCAGCAGACAGAAGCAGAAGAACCCAGAGAGCCCAGAGAGATGTGGATGATGAAGCTGGATCACAGCGCTCCTCCGCTGGTCAGGGGTCAGGGGTCAGGGGTCGGCTGTGGTGTGGTCCTCGCTGAAGAAGGCGGTCACCCTCTCTATGTCCGGCACGTACCGTATGTTCTCCACCTCCCCGACGTACTTGCTGGGCTTCTGGAAGTGGATCTCCATGTGATCCTGCATGTCCTCCTCATCCAGCAGAGCCTGCATCTCCTTCAGAAGCTGTGTGCGGCTCGCGACGCCTGAGAACGTCTGCACACACACACACATATACACACAGACACACACACACACACACATACACACACACACACACACACACAAACACACACACACACACACACACACACACACACACAGTTTCATTCAAATACACATGTCCAACACAGATGAAGAACACTACATAGGAGACACACGCATGCTCACATACACACACACACACACACACACCTACCTGCATATACAAACACACGCACTTAAATATGTATACACACACATCTCTGACACAGATAATGAAAACACACACACACACACACACACCTGGAACTTGCGCAGCTGGTACTCGTACACCGGCAGGATTTCCACATCTGCTTCCCCACAGACGTCCACAGTGTAGCGTCCCCGCAGAACCAGACGCTCCGCCACTGAACACACACACACACACACAGCAGGAGGAGTGTGTTTATTACAGTGATTGGGTCCAGTTAAAGCACACACAGTGCAGTGTTCCAGCGCTCCAACAGAGAACATGTACACAGATGTTACTGTGCGGAGAGTGAATAATCATGATGCTCAACAGAGCTCTTCTCTAG